ATGAAAAACTGCTAATAAAACATCCTGTGTTGTCTCCTGAGCTACAAGATCATCTTCCTTTCCCATATAGATCATAGACTCACTCTCCTTTGTTGTAATGTATAGATAGTCCATATATTAACTGTGTCTTTACTTAGCAAGACAAGATTTCTATCTAGGTCTTTGCAACCAGCAACGTTATCGCCCTGGCCCGGGACTGAAGTTGTCAAACATCCTGCAAGCCCCCTCTTCAAAAGACTCTTCCCAGTAATCAAGATCCAAGAAGAAGATACAGCAGACAAATGGACTTCCTCATCCTGAGAACTGTGATTGATTTTACCTGAGCTAACAAGACAAACAGCATGTTTTATAATTATTGCTTCCATGCTTTGTATACCCTGTTCCTTAGAGTAAATCTTTTACTGCCCCTCACCCATTTACTTGCATGTATCACATTTTCAATAAAAAGGCATGATGATGCCTAGCAGTTGTCACTCCTCAGAGAGCGATCTTTGGGAGTGTCCGGCTAAGGACGTGCATGAAAAGCATCGAGGCCTTAGTCTTCCTTTCCAGCGCCGCCTCCGTCGAGATAACCCACCCACGCCGAGGCTGGACCCCAGCAAGGAGAGGTGCTTGGGAGCCCAGGCCCGGTCTGTACAGTGAAGTGAAGCAGCACTGGATTCTTTTTTTTTTTTTTTTTTTTTTTGTAGAGGGTTTTGCTATAGGGTGCATGTGCTCTCCAGAAAGAGAGACAGAGAGGCAGAAAGCGGGATATCACCCCTCAGGGGGGATGTCCACACTGCAATCCCTTCTCCTTCATTCTTTTCTCTCGGGATCTTGGGCATGCACGCACACGCACCTGGCGTGAGTTTAAGCCACTGGGTCCAGGACTCAAACTGCAGTTGACTACATGGGAGTTCAGCAACATAGCCATTACGCCAACTGCTGGTCCCTTCGGCAGCACTGGATTCTAACACAGCTAGCTTACACTAAGGCATTGAAAACAAGAGTGAAAGGAAGCCTCAAGGTTGGAGCAGTTGGGAAGGTGAGGACAGGACGGCTCTGTAGGGGTGATGCCTCCTGGGTATCCCGAGCCTCCTCTAGCCTTACAAGGATATCTTCTTCAAGTCCATATTGGAGAGCAGGAAGCCCAAGAGAGCAGGACCCTGGTTCCAACCCAACCTGCTACATGACTTTGGGTTGGAGTTTTAAGCCTTAGTTTGTTTTTGTTTTTGTTTTTGTTTTTGTTTTTCTCTCTCTCTTTTTAATGAGACAGAAAATGCAGGAGGAAGGGAATGATAGGTATTTTTTTTAATTATTTATTTATTTGTCTGTTGTGATTTTCGGGTCCCCAGGTCCAGGGCTTGAACCACTGTTAGCCATGTGGAAGTCTAGCACCTAAACCACCACGCCACCTGCTGGCCCCGAAAGATAGATATTTTTGACAAGGTCTCACCACATCAAGATCCTTCCCGCCCCAGCCAGCACACACCTCCATGCCCAGTCTATGTACATTGGGCCGGAAACCACACCTCAGCCTCCCGTGTGGCCTCACCCACAATGCAATGGTGTCCTCCCACTTACTGTGGCTGGGCCAGGCTTCTCTTCTTTGAAATGAGTTTTAAAATAAATGGGTTTTGGGACCAGCAGATGGCTTAATGGTTATGTTGCTGGACTCTCACGCAGTCGGTGGTGGTTTTTGAGTCCCAGACCCGGTGACTTGAAACTCACACCAGACGTGTGTGCATGCATGCCTGAGAACCAGAGAGGAGAATGAATGAGAAGGGATTGCCACGTGGCCATCCCCCTGGGGGGAGTGATCTCTCACTTTCTGTCTCTCTGTCTCTCCAGCGAGTACGCAGGCCCTATAGCAAAAATCTCTCTCAAAAAACAAGTACGTGGGACCAGCAGGTGGCATGATGATTAAGGGCGCTGAACTCCCCCATGGCTGACCATGGTTTGAGTCCTGGACCTGGCGACTTGCTTTCTCACTTTCCCTCTCTCTTTCTCACCCTGTCCCTCTCTGGTCAAATTAAAATAAATAAATAAATAAGTTAAAGAAAATAATTCTTTGAAAAAGTCAATAAATAAAGGTTTCAGAGGAATGCTAGAAGGATCACGTTGGAATGGTAGATGGAGCAGTGTTTTATACACAGGGAACGTCTCGGTATGTCCTGGATGTGGTAACCAAGTGCACATGCGCTATAGCAAAACTTGAAAAATTGTAAACATAAAAGGATGAAAACTTAATTTGACTGTAGTGTTGAAGTGGAGAGAGGATTTGGGGGATGAGTAGAATTCAGTCACTAGGGCAGGGCCCCATGATTGACTCCTGGTAGGTTTATAAGGAGAAGAAATGAGGACAGACCAGAGACCCACAGACACAGGCACTTCTGCCATCCGCCATGTTGCCAGGCAGCCCAACGATCATTACTACGTGTAGCCCCCGGAGGGCACGTGGGCCACCAAACTCTGAGCCCAATAAACCTCTGTTCTTATACATCTCCCAGATTCAGGTGCATTCTCTTAGTAGCACCTTATTTATCTTGGGATAAATAGAACAGTATCTCAAACTTGGCTTTCTGAATGTCACGATAGTGTCTCAAGTTGTCCTATCGTTGGGAGGATAAAAGACTTTAACCGGAACCTGCAGATAACAGAAAATATGCTAAACTCATTTCAGAAGACCCTTTCTGGAGCTGCCTCGGTTTCCTTGAGAATCAGGCTCTGCAAGGAGCTCGTGCCCAGGAACTGCTGAGAATGAGAGATTCCCTGTGGACACTCCACTGGCTTGTGTGGGAGAAAGGACTGAAGTGTCTTGTGCGTGCAGCTGCTGCCCCCTGGTGGGCAAAGCTCTGGGAGCCATCACGGTTGAATTTCTCCTCATAAGAAAAATCTAATATTTACGCAGTGGCTTGATTTACAAAGCACCTTCACGTTCGGTGTCTTGCGTGAGCCCTAAAACAACCCTGTGAAGAAGCTAGGGATTATCTCTATTTCACAGATGAAGAAGCAGGCTTAGGAGGGGGCCTGCCTATGGAGAGCTAAGAACTGAAACTTACAGCTGCGAGTTCTGATTCTAAAGCCCAGCTGTTTTGAATCCAAATGCCAATCGCCTGTTCTGATAATAAGACTACTGGTTAAAGCCACCCTTCTCAGGCATCATCACCCAGAGATTGAGGGGTAAGACTTGGAGTCAAACAAGCTTTCTGGGCGAGGCTGGTGCAGAGTCAGATCCCAACACTTGGACTGGGTTTGGGGAGCTATCGCCTGCATCACGCAGCCTCTGTGTCTGTGCCTGGACGTCCCCTTTCCACTCTGCCTCCTGTGCCTGTGGGTCTGGTCTCTGCTGCCATCCCTTGCCTCTCCTATATCCCTCTGTGTCGCTACTAGCTAACATCCTCAGGCGTGTGGGCCTTGCACGCCGTGTACGCCATTGTGCTGATACGCACCACGGTCCTGGCAGGCGAGGGCACCTGCAGGCAGAGCCGGCAAGCAGAGCTTTACAAGAGCACACGGTGATAATGCCGTCGGGCCGTGAAGTGCACCCCGGGCTGTGACCACTGAGCCACACTGTGTCTCTTGGTGCCACACTTTGCGTTCTTCCCTTAAAAAAAAAAAAAAAAAGTCCCAGGACCAGCAGATGGCATAATGCTTACATTGCTGGACTCCCACGTAGTTGACTGCAGTTCGAGTCCTGGGTCATGCCGCTTAAAACTCATGCCAGGCAAGTGTGTGTGTGTGTGCCCAAAATCCCGAGAGGAGACGGTAGAGAATGGATTGTGGCTGAGCCATCCCCATAGGGGGTGATTTCTCACTTTCTGTTTCTCTATCTCTTTGTAGAGAGCACGTGCCCTATAGCAAAAACAAACAAAAGCACTCTCTAAAATAATTAATTAATTAATTTTTAAAAGTCCCATCCTGCGTCCCATCTCCCTTGAAAATGCTGCTGATTTTCTGCTCACAGGACAGAAACGAATTATCTCTAAAACGACAGTGACTAATTACAGCCTAAAGGATTAGTGGGCGTGCACACACACGTACACACATTTCACTTCCAAAGCACAGCTTTGTTTCAGCTGGAAATTTTAATTCTATCACCTGATGGGAAAAAGTAAAGAAATGCCCCAGACTCGAAGACAGAGAAACAAAGAGCAATACCCTCCTCCAGCCTACAATCCAGGATAGAGGATGGGTCCCCCCAAATTCCAGGACATGATTGCTCCAGACAATGTATGGAAAAATCGTCAGTGTCCCAGGGTATCCCTCAATAGGACTTACTATATACATTCGTCACTCTGAACTGAGCAAACCCACCTTCAGATGACTCCAGCTCCACTCTTGCACCACTCACTCCAAGCTTCAGCTGTTCCAGGCGAGACCCCAGACGTGATGTAGCAGAGATTAAACCATCCCTGCTGTGAATTCCTGACACAGAGTGGGCAGTAAAATTCTACACTTTGTGCCTTAGGGGAGTCCAGTGTGTGTGTGCGTGCGTGCGTGTGTGTGTGTGTGTGTGTGTGTCTTTAAACATTATGGTAATACTCAGCGAGGCAAGAAACTCCCACTAGCAAAAGCAGACCAGAATGCAGAGTGACCAAGGGAAGGGGAAGTGTTTTAATCAAACCCCCTGCTCAATGGGGGCACTGGCTTGGAGACCAGAGGCAGGGTCCTGACATTTAGACAAGTTCTCCCACTTGTCCCAAGGCACTGTGTGCTGTTCAAACCCCACAAGTCAAGATATGCAAGATGGTTCCACAGCGCCCTGTACCGAGAGAGGTGGCATAGTTGACGAGAAGCTGATTTTCTGGAAGGCTGTGCTGGGTTTGCATGGGATTGTCCAGGGTGGCCAGCGATGGCGGAACTCAGAGACCGTCAGCGGATGCGCATGGTGAGCTCTGCAGACAGCTGCATTGTGTCAGATGATGGTGCAGCCAAAGCAGTACCGCTCAGGGTAGTCCACCGCGTGCACCTGGTGGTCGGTGCCATAGATATAGTAGACGTAGCTCTGTCCTCGGTACCAGTAATGAACTTCCGTGAGGGGGATCAGCTCGATGGTCTGGCGCTGGGAAACAAATAGCCAAGAAAAGCTTTGGTTTTCTGCTCAAGTCACTCACCTGCTCAAGAGCCTTCAGTGGCTCCCTATTGCCTGTGGGATAAAGTTTATGCCTGGAGTTAGCATCCTGGGCCCTGCGCAGTTTGACTCCAGTCTGCCTTTCTAGATGAGTTTCTTACTAAACTCCTTCACATACCCTAAGCTCTGACCCAAACTGACTTCTCATCTTCAGCCACCATCCGAGTCTAGGTTGCACTAAGCCGGTACAGATGTCCCGTGGGGAGCCTGGGTGTATGGAAAGCCCCCAGCCAAACGTAACACCTTCCAAAAGCATCAATGCTTAGATGAGGTGCTGGGGGAAGTGGGAGACAAAGTCGTTTCAAGTATTTTTATATCAAACCAACCATGGAAATAGTTCAAACAATGTACTAGGAAGTGGCTTATGAAATTTGGGTTAATTTTTAAGATAAAGCATTGATACCAAAAAAGTTTCCAAGTCTGGTGAGCTGTGCCCAGCTATTTTTTTCAAACCTCCCCATGGCTGTTTTTTGTTTGTTTTTTTCATTTTTTGGAAAGGTTTTTGCTATAGGGTGCATGCGCTTGCCAGAAAGACAGAAAGCGAGAAATCACCCCCCAGGGGGGATGGTCACGCCGCAATCCCTTCTCCTCCATTCTCCTCTCGGGATCTTGGGTACGCACGCACACACGCCTGGCGTGAGTTTAAGCCACTGGGTCCTGGACTCGACATAGCCATTACGCCAACTGCTGACCTCCAAATATTCCCCTTCTTTTACAAAGAAAAAATTTATAAATGGGTTTTTTAATGTTTTGCACCAAAACTAATTTCATATTTTGTTTCATTTTTCCATGAACCGTTTGAAGTCCTCTTGTAAAAATCACACAGGGAGAGTCACCAGTGTCTGCAAGCTGCTAAACTAATGTCCTCACAGCCTTGGTGTTTCTGCACTCTCTTCCCATCCCAGTGTAGACCTTCAGTGCTGGGGGCTCTTAGTTGCATCCCAAACCACAGAATGCCCGGGTTGCAAGACCCGGCTGCCCTGGAGGCCATGCTGGGGTCTTCAGCGATCTGCACCCTCCCGACATGCTCCTCAGACGAGCTTCTGCCCTCCCAGCCCCAGCTTCTACATACTCCAGGGCTCACGGCTCAGCTTTCCTGAGTCCTGCCCTGGAGGTGCGGAATTCGCCTCCCCCAGAGAGAACGGAGGGCAGGGAGGCTGCACCCAGGATTGGGTGGTGCCAAAAGAACCAGCGCTCCACTCTCTTGCCGTGCCTCCCAGCGATCTGTCACTGAGATACGATTTAAGCTCAGGGCACGCACAGGATCACACAGAGGCTGAGACATCGCCTGCACCCCTCTTCCCCCTCACTCCTGCACTGGTCCTGAGAGCTCTTCCAGGTCTCACGGTCTGCTTCCGCAGAGCCCACCTAAGACAGCCCGCATTTTACAGCTGAGAACCAGGCGTGCGCACCAGAGCAGGGAAGCGGGGCCTAACCTGGTAAGTAAATTGTCTGCCCTAGACCAGGCAAGGCTCTGTGTCCCAGCACAGCTGGCACTAGCCCCACAAGCCTACACTAGCCTTCAAAGGGTCTCTAGGAATACAAAGAACCACATTAGACTTGAGGTCAGGAAGAGGTTCCTATTTCTGAGGTCTTTCTCCAAAAGGCTGTGTGACCTTGGCCAAATTAATCCCACTCTCTGGGCCTCCTCTGATTTGTGGGAAAGGTAATGAGTCTGGGTTAGACCAGAGGAAGCCATTGGTGGCCCTTGGACCACAGCAGGCCTGTCAGCCTACACAGTGTTCTTAGGATTTTTAAACTGCTGTTGTCAATACTGAAAATTAGAATGTTTTTCATTAAAATCTGGACTTCTGAAGGTCTGGAAACTCCGGACTTTGTCCCTGTGCAACCCCGAGAGGTGCTGGCTCCTTGGAATGAGGGCACTTCCACCCACGGCCCCACCTGGCTCTGGGGGGCATTTCAGTTTGCAGCATCTGAACTACGTGATTTGTAAGTCTCCTTCCAGCTCCAGGGTGGTCCCCGTCAGTTTTAGAGTAAACACACCTTTCTCTCTCCTCCGGCTAGGGGTGAAGCGCAGAAAGACAAAAGGAAATGTTCATTGCAAGGACAGAAAGACAAGGGACATTCCGAGTACCAGGTGTCAGCCAAGGAAATTGTCTCCTCCCTGCCAGACCCTCTGAAGCCACGCTCCTGTCTCATTTCACAGGCGAAAAACAGGACCTGAGAAGGAAGTAGCTGGCCCAGGATCTTGTCAGGATGTAGGAGATCTAAGATCTGAGTCCAGTCTGCAAGGCTCCGGTCCCAGCTGCCAGGTGCCCTGTCACAGAGCTCTAGCCCGCAGTGTTCTTTGGCCAAACCATCCTTTAGGGAAAGGAGGGGCAGCTCAGAGCTGCACCTGGGCGAGCACATGGCACCACCGCCCCCTAGTGGCCATCAGAATGCAGCAGTGGCCAGGCCACCACCCCTTCCCACTGGAGCTGGGAGAAGGCAGGGATCTGGGGATGCCCAGGCTGGATGGCAGATGCTGGGTTCCTCCCCTCTCTGAATACGAGGGAATCCAAATCACACTATGCCCCATCTGGGCTCGAAACACTGCAGAAACACCCTGTCCCTCAGAATGAAATCCTAAGTTCTCACCTGCCGCAGTGCCTTATGCGGCCCCATTCTCTGCTCTGACCACACCAGCCCCAGGTCAGCCCTCGCTTCCGTGTCCCTCACACCGGCACTCCCTCCCCTCCTCTCTCTCCCTCCTAGGTCCTCTTCTTCCTTGGCCCTGACTTTCTCAGGAAAGTGCCTCCAGGTAGAGAGGGTTCCGTTTCCCACTTTATGTGAGCAGAGGACGGCACCCCCGCCTGGTCCCAGGAGCCTCACCTCCCCACAGCCCCAGGTCCCAGCCCCAACGGTCAGGGTCCCAGGAAGACATGTCAGAGCGGGGTGCCACCTCCTGACTCCCCCAGTTCTGCTGGCCCTCCCCCTCCCCCCTGAGTTCTCACTCGCCTCACCTGCTGCAGGACACGGGCACGGGAGGCCAGGGCAGCGCTGTGCTCCGCGATGCCCCTCTGTGAGGCCAGACAGATCTCCCGCAGGGGGAAGTCGACAATGGGGTACACCTGGGGAGAGAGACGCAGACCACCCTGCTGCTCAGACCCAGGGCCTGGGAGGTCACCAGGCTGACCCGGCCAGACTGACAGAAGCCCCGTTGGAGCCAAATTCTGTCAAGGCCACAGCAGGGGCCTGGCTAACCTCTTCTGCAAAGATCGTGACCATCCTATGCTTTATTTTTTTCTATTTACTTGGAATGAGGGCACTTCCACCCACGGCCCCACCTGGCTCTGGGGGGCATTTCAGTTTGCAGCATCTGAACTACGTGATTTGTAAGTCTCCTTCCAGCTCCAGGGTGGTCCCCGTCAGTTTTAGAGTAAACACACCTTTCTCTCTCCTCCGGCTAGGGGTGAAGCGCAGAAAGACAAAAGGAAATGTTCATTGCAAGGACAGAAAGACAAGGGACATTCCGAGTACCAGGTGTCAGCCAAGGAAATTGTCTCCTCCCTGCCAGACCCTCTGAAGCCACGCTCCTGTCTCATTTCACAGGCGAAAAACAGGACCTGAGAAGGAAGTAGCTGGCCCAGGATCTTGTCAGGATGTAGGAGATCTAAGATCTGAGTCCAGTCTGCAAGGCTCCGGTCCCAGCTGCCAGGTGCCCTGTCACAGAGCTCTAGCCCGCAGTGTTCTTTGGCCAAACCATCCTTTAGGGAAAGGAGGGGCAGCTCAGAGCTGCACCTGGGCGAGCACATGGCACCACCGCCCCCTAGTGGCCATCAGAATGCAGCAGTGGCCAGGCCACCACCCCTTCCCACTGGAGCTGGGAGAAGGCAGGGATCTGGGGATGCCCAGGCTGGATGGCAGATGCTGGGTTCCTCCCCTCTCTGAATACGAGGGAATCCAAATCACACTATGCCCCATCTGGGCTCGAAACACTGCAGAAACACCCTGTCCCTCAGAATGAAATCCTAAGTTCTCACCTGCCGCAGTGCCTTATGCGGCCCCATTCTCTGCTCTGACCACACCAGCCCCAGGTCAGCCCTCGCTTCCGTGTCCCTCACACCGGCACTCCCTCCCCTCCTCTCTCTCCCTCCTAGGTCCTCTTCTTCCTTGGCCCTGACTTTCTCAGGAAAGTGCCTCCAGGTAGAGAGGGTTCCGTTTCCCACTTTATGTGAGCAGAGGACGGCACCCCCGCCTGGTCCCAGGAGCCTCACCTCCCCACAGCCCCAGGTCCCAGCCCCAACGGTCAGGGTCCCAGGAAGACATGTCAGAGCGGGGTGCCACCTCCTCCCCAGCCCAGTTCTGCTGGCCCTCCCCCTCCCCCCTGAGTTCTCACTCGCCTCACCTGCTGCAGGACACGGGCACGGGAGGCCAGCGCTGTGCTCTGCTCCGCGATGCCCCTCTGTGAGGCCAGACAGATCTCCCGCAGGGGGAAGTCGACAATGGGGTACACCTGGGGAGAGAGACGCAGACCACCCTGCTGCTCAGACCCAGGGCCTGGGAGGTCACCAGGCTGACCCGGCCAGACTGACAGAAGCCCCGTTGGAGCCAAATTCTGTCAAGGCCACAGCAGGGGCCTGGCTAACCTCTTCTGCAAAGATCGTGACCATCCTATGCTTTATTTTTTTCTATTTAATTCTTCCTTTATTCATACATTAAATTACTATACATCATTTAGATTGTGAAGAGACTTTACCCAGTGTGATATACACCTCAGTCCAGCCCAGTGGAGACTATTATACACATCCTCGTCAACAGATAATAAACCATATCTGTGTCCCACAAGTGTCTTACCTCTCCATTTCCCCCCCAGATTTCCTACGCTCTCCCCCTCCCACACTCTCTTTCCACCTTGTCTCTACTGTCCATTACAATTTTTAATGCTTGTATGTTCTCCAGTCTTTCAGTCTCTACCATAGAGTGCGGACAGTCGGTAAATGTTAAGTGGAGACATACAATGTCTCTCTTTCATAGCCTGACTGCTGCACTCAGCAACACATCTTCCATACCCTATGCTTTGTGGACCAAGAAATCTGCCTTTATTCGGCTCCGCCCTGGTGGCAGGGAAGCAGCCTTAGACAGTGAGGGCAAGTGGGCAGGGCTGCATGCCGATAAGGCTTCACTCATAAAGCAGGCAGAGGCAGCGGGAGCTGACCCTGGCGCTGAGGACCCTCCTGCAACCAGCTTCCAGCTCTCAGGTCTGAGCCCCTCCTCTGCCTTGCTGGCCACTCCGGTCAATGACCACGTGGTCCTTCTCTGCACAGAGTCCGGGTTTCTACCCAACATCCCTTTTGCAGAGAGGCCGTTCTGTCCCTCCTCCTAGCTGGAAAAATCCCTCCTCCCTTCCCATCCGCTTTGCTGCTGGAGGACTTCTCAGTGGCTCTATAACCTCCTGGCACTGGTAAACGTCCACTACCTTCTCCCTCGGGGGTCTGTCAGATCTTTGAGGGCAGGGATTGTGTTTTTTTGTGCTGTGGCATTGGGGGACCTACCATAGATAGTGCCTGGTGTAGGAGGAGGGTCTCAGGGTTTGTGAAAAGGGGTGGGGGAGG